ATTTCAAGAAATAGATTAATCTCAAACTGGTTATTTAAAAAAAATGTTTTAATTTTGAGCTAATTCGTGTATTAAAGGAAATTGCACCTAAAATAAAGTCGTTTAACTCGGATGAATTGCAAAGACCGTGTCTTTGCTGTTCTATCTAGATAGAATCTTAACTCAATTAGTGTGGTTTAGTAAGCAAGCTAGCGACAATTATTGCTAGGAGCATTATAAGAACTTTTTCCATTAAGCGAGCGATTTTTCATTTCATATCTATAAGGACTTCTGGGCAACCAATTATTCCTCTTATACAATTCAAAATTACTACAAAAAGGATAAGATTTTTCAGTGTTTAAACCTGCTCTCAGTTTATTGTTGTTCGAGGTTTAACTTTATGGTTAGTGACTAATTTGAGGTTCGTAGAACATGCTGGCTGGTATAATGATTATAAAGGAAGACGCAATCTTTTCATTGTTCATGGGGAATTTCTCATTTGTCCTGACGAGCACTGTATTGATTCCAAAAAGATCTATTCGTATTACAAAACAGAATACTGAAATAAACCGAGAATTGTTTAAAAAACGAAATATCTGCTGGCGTTGTCCTTTGTTATGATTACAGGTATGTTATAATTCATGGTTTCTATCTTGGTCTGAATAATAAACAGAATTAACCTGTATTCTTAAATCGATAGTTATTTTTAGTCTAACCTATTGTTAAGCGTTTAAATACGACATGCCGTATTCCTGCTGTTATGATTTCTAAGGCATTTTCATCATCTAAGTTTGGTAAAACACAATAACGCTTGTTGGAGCTGAGAACAAGCGAAGCCGACAAACTCGACGCTATTTGGTAACTTCTTTCACTCTTTCCAATTTTTGCGTCTTTTAAAAAATGTTTCAAAAAATTTTAAGTCAGAGACTAACATTTCAAGTATTATTTCCGATGTATTTATATCTTTTTATAGTATTATAGTTTGGTTTGCAATAGAAAAATTGTTGGCTATATACAGATATATGCCCGCGTCTAGGCAAAAAGCATTTAAACCCGCATTACTCTAAAATATTTCCTTGGGTGCACCCTTGAAATACTCGAGTTTAGTTATCTAGAAACGATCATAATTTTCATCTGGGTTGAGTTTAGTCTGAAGACTTTTGAATGCCTTGGGTTTCATAAACTATACATTACCAGCTTGTATGAAAAAGATAATGGCTTGGTATTTTGGGATATACCGTATCTTGGAGTATTATATGATAACAATCTTAAATAAATTCTTATAGCTAAGGGTCCTTGAGTTTCGGCTCTTTTTGAACTTCAAACGATGTACTTGAGATAACAATCCAAAACTTGCCGTACTGGCTACCAAGTATCGGGAATTACAGGTGTAGGAAAACCAGAACTTTCGCTTGTCGTTTGACTTTCATGTTTAATAAGCAAAGAAATTAGCCATCTATCTGAGAGTTATATTTTGCTCTGCGGGACGTACAAAAAGTTATGATAGAAACTTTTCAAAAAACTGTTGTTTTTTTATGCGCTTTTTTATGTTTCTTTTTTATTATCATATTATCATTATTACTGCGGACGGAAGAGAACTATTTATCAAAAAAGAGGCCTGTTTCGTGAGAACTTTTTCCAACACTTTCTAAATTTCAATAATTGATAATTTGTTCGGGTGAGAATGTAAGAGTGACGTTAATTTATAATAAGTTCATTTTAACTTTTTGCTGAAAGCTGAGTATCGCGGTTGAATATTTGACTAGTCGCATTTCATTTAAATAGTCTAATCTTAAACACTTTTGGTATTATTATGGGAATTAACGTGGCGTTTTAACGAGATGCAAAGAGCCAGACGCTTGCCTTGATCTTGAAATTGAGAAAAGAAATTCTATCAGTTTTTATTTCATTAATTTATTCGTTTGCTCACTTTTTCTTTCTTTCTTTCTTTCTT